AACCCTAAAATCCTAAACCCTTCTTGGTCAAGGTTCAGCTACCGCCGTTTGCTCAGCTGCTGGAGTCTCTTGTAGCTCGCCCGGCATTCCCACACAGACCTCTAAGCCCCCAGCCGCCATCTGCCGTGGGTGTGATCCACTTTATGGCTCAGACAACAAGTTTAGGCTTTAGGGTTTAAATTTNNAGGGTTTAGGGTCTAGGGTGTGTACATATAACCCCAATATAACCCTAATATTTCCGCAATGCTTGCTTAGACCTACCCCTGCGTAGGGTTTAGGGTTGCGGGTGGAGTTATCGAAAGGATTTGCTGGGATGATCGCGGAACGGAGCCATCAACCTGCATGCGGACGCAGACCAGGAAACCGACAACACCGTTTTCCGAAAGGGTCCATGTAGCTACATAGGGTTTAGGTTGGGTACTGCCCCCCCTCACTAACAGTTGGATAATAGTTGTCATATAGTTATATATATATATAGCCCTTAATAGGACCCCTAACATAGACTGTTACTGGGTGGGGGCAGTACCCAAGGTTTAGGGTCCAGGGTTTAATGTACGCTTGGAGCCCAAAGTGGATAATGCGGGACGCCTTTGGGATCGAAGTATAGACTACATGGACCCTGTGGGATTCTAACCTAAACCGTAATCCCTAAACCCCCTGAACACCCTAAACCCTAAACCCCCTGAACCCCTAAACCCCCAACCCCTACACCCTGGTCCCAAACCTTGACAATACACTGGCCAACCTAAGCCTAGATAGGGTTTAGGGCTTAGGGGTTTAGGGGGTTTAGGAGTTTAGTGGGTTTAGGGGTTTGGGGGGCTTAGGAGTTTAGGGGGGTTAGTTTAGGGTTGGGGACTAGGGATTAGGGTTAGGGCTTATAGTTTAGGGCTTAGGGTTTAGGGTTCAAGGAGCTTTGTCTCCCTAAGCCCGCAAGCCTAAAAGACCAGTCCCTAGACAGCGACCCTAACTGGACCTCAAAATTCAGCAAAAGAACGGCCGGAAACCCAGCAAAGCAACACAAAATGATCTTAATCTAAAAACTTTGGGGGACTAGCCTTAAACCCCAAACCCTAGACCCCTAAACATTAAACCCTAAATCCTTGAGTTTTTGGCTAAGCCCCACCCACCCCCCTAACAGAAAGGCTTTGGATTCCTGAGGTTTGTGGAAGCTCCCTCTGCTGTTTAGGGTTGAGGGTTTAGGGTTTAGGGTTTAGGGTGTAGGCTTTAGGGTTTAGGGCTATATTAGGGGTCCCAGTAAGGGCTATATATACAAGCATACTATACTTATTATCCAACTGTTACTGAGGGGGGGCAGTACCCAATGGTTTAGGGTGTAGGCTTTACAGGATTTGGGGTTTAGGTTTATAGGGCTGAGGGCTTGAGGTTTACGAGTTGGGGTCTGGAGTTTAGGGTTGCGGTTGGCTGAGCATAGGGTACGGATTTAGGGTTTAGGGTGTAGGGTTTATAGGCGGTTAGGGGGTACTGCAGAGGCTCACATGAAAACCAATGCTGTCCACTCATAACCCTTAAGTTTTGAGATGCCCCCAGATGCCTACTCTTGTTAAGCTAGCCCCTACATTCGATGACTAGACCTAGGCCCATACAGTACTGTTGATGGAGGAAATCTTGCACCACCTTAAGCCCCTAAAGTCCTAGGAATTACAGTAGTTTAGGGCCCCTAGGTGGTGCAAGATTTCATCCATCAACAGTATCACCCTAATCCGTAAACCCTAAACAGCAGTATCCTTGCTGCCTCTGCCGACTCCTCCGAATCTGGGTCGCCGGTAGGCAGCCGCGCAGTCTTCCTCCGGCTGCGGACGCCTGCTCAGAGTATTTGGTTAAGGTCTTATGTTCGGTGCGAGATTAGAAGTACCGCAAATTCCATTGCTACTAGGGGTCAACCCTTGAGGTACCTATAATAGGAATATCAGGCAATCCCAAAGGGTTAAGGGTCTAAGGTCCAAGCTAAGTCCAAGGATGATATCAAGAGGATGCAAAAGTATGGCCTGCCTACCTGGACCTCAGTTTACGGTTTAGGGTTTAGGGTCTAGGATTTAGGGTTTAGGGCCGTGAATATGTTTAATCTATCCTGCAAGTACTCACGGTCCCAATTGATTGTAGCTACCAGGGTTTTCCAAACAAAGGGGCTTAAGACGTGGCCCGAAACATGGTATCCAAGACACGCTGCCTGCCTATCAGTTGCTGCAACATGGAGGTTTCCCTAAATTAGGGGTACCTTTTTGGGGGTCCCATAACAAGGATTATCGCATTTTGGGATCCATATTGGTGTCCCCCTATTGAGGGAAACTACCAAATGAAGAGGGCCGTAATCGATAACCAAGGTAACCCATCCTCATGAGAACCGCTTTTGGCAGCCAAGTACATTCTCTACCGCGTAAAAATGTGTCTCTGCAGCCACCTGGCCTGACCAGGGCCTAGGGTTTAGAGTTTAGAGGTAAAACACTAAACCCGAAACGCAACTAGTCCTAAGATTAGACCCAATAAAATCCCTACCTTTAACCCTAATTACCTACAGCTTCGTAGCAACTACCCCTTCAGTAATTGAGAGGCATGGCCCATAAAACGGTAGGAAATGGGGTTACACGAAAACTCCGCAGCCTAAAGCCTAAACCGCAATCCCGAAACTCTGGATTCGACTACAGCCTGCCATCCAGTAGCGATTCCAGTGTGCAGGACCATGCACTGCGCATGCGGCAGCCTCGAAGCAATCATTAGGAGGGTTCATTAGGGCTTAGGAGAGATTTAGGGGTTCAGGACTTAGGGAATTTTTGTGCATAGTTTAGGCTGATAGGAACGCTGCAAGTAACCTGCTTAGACTCTCGAAGCATATGTGCAGGTTCATAGGATTACTTAGGATGATATCCCAATAGCCCTCATGCTGTCACACTAAACCCTGAACCCTAACGCCGCGCAGGGACTTGTCTTTACAAGGGTTTAAGGTTCATGCGCCAAGGAAGAGCCGCCTGGTGGAAGCATGAGGAACATACCCTAAACCCTAAACCCTAAACCCTGAACCCTGAACCCTAAACCCTAAACCCTAAACCCTACTGGTATGTAACAACTATGGCGAAGCCTTGTCATCAGGACCGATCGTTGGGGCATTTCTTGGGCCAAAGCCGGAAAGACTCGCAGGGGCTACCCTTCGAGCCCCAAAAAGACCTGCAAAGACCACTGCCTTCATAAAAGGATGCTAGGGTTTAGGGATTTAAGGGCTTGGGGATTAGGGTTTAGGGGATAGATGGGCATCCATAATACTAGTGTGGGGCGGGGTAGCACATCAACATGTCCAACAGCCGAAGGGCCAAGCAGCATTGAACGAAGCACTCCATAAAAGGTGGGATCTAAATTTTGGGCTCGCCCGACACCTGCTAACAGTCATAGATAGGAAGCAGACCACTGGTATATCATGACTACAGTTGCAACTGGTGTTGATGCAATAGCAGATAGGACCCAAGCCATTCCCCCGAAGAAACCCAAACAACTACACAGCCCCGCCCACTGTTAGGGGCCCATTATAGTAGTTTCCATTTTCTTTTTCCATCATCCCAATATAACCCCAATATAACCCCTATATATCCCTTTAAAGGGACCTAGGGTTTCCAAGAACACTGCGCTCCCACCAAACACCTTCAGATCAGAGCCAGCAACCGTGTACGACGTTCTCAAAAGAGGGGTTTAGGGTTTAGGGTTTTAGGGTTTAGGGTTAGGGTTTAGGGCCTTGCATGGTGATTGATATGGACCCCATAAGCCCCATTTCATCCCAATGAATCCTCAGTCCGTAGGGCACCCTGTTTTGAGAAATCCCCTTGCTAAATTCCCTCTTCCAGACAAGGCAATGGTCAATTCCTGCTGTCGGCGCACTGAGGCAGCGCAAAAGAAGCGAGATATGATCACCGACATGAGGGTCCTGGGTGCATGTGAGTTTTGCCGGGTGGCTGTTGAGGTACTTAAGTTTTCATCAGGAAGCCGTGCTGCATGATACACATCCATAGCGCGGTGAATTGCTAGCATAGTAATAGTAATAATAACAATAATAGTAATAGTAATAATAGTAATAGTAATAATAGTAATAGTAATAATAGTACTAGTCATAATAGTAATAGTAATAATACTAGTAATAGTAATAGTAATAGTAATAGTAATGGTAATATTAATGGTAATATTAATAGTAATAGTAATAATAATAGTACTAGTAATAATCGTACTAGTAATAATAGTAATAGTAATAGTAATAGTAATGAAGCTGAAAATGTGAATTCCTTTGGGTGATACTACCATGAACAATTGGAAGCTAATTCCTGAGGAAGCTACAGGTATTCCCTTCCTGCAATCCTTGATATTTCCGAGCGTCAAATCGGATGGCTGTTCCGGTCGTAGCTCTGCGGTCTGGACAGAGAATTGAGCCGTCCTTTACGGTCTTCTTCCACGAAGTGGTTTGGGGGTTGGGGCTGAGGGTGTGTTGAGCTGCCCTTAATGCTTCCCTAGTTAATTACATTATTTTTTGTCTCAGGGCTTTCCAACCCCTACACCCCCCAACCCTTTCCAGCCCTCAACCCTTAAACCCTCAACCCTAAACCCTAAACCCAAAAAACCGAAGAATTGACCTGTCCTTCGCCCCTTAGGGTAAAGTTCTTGGGGCGGCAGAGCTATGAGGATGGCCGCTGAAACCATGGTACCCCCCCGAAGCCGTCTACTTGGAGGGTCAGGA